GGGGCGGGGCGAAGCTTGCGGGGTCGAGCACACCCTGGCTTTCCGGCGAGCGCGCCCCCCGAACCGCGCTCCCATTGGCCAGAAGCGGACGGGCGCGTTCGCACGCACGGGAATTGGGCGGGGGCGAGGGGCGGGCATGAGACGCGCGTAATGTTGTGCCGACGTCCTCGCGGCGATGCGGAGCTGACGCGTCTCTCCGGATTGGTGGAGCGACAGCCAATAGGGTCAGAGCCCGGGCTATGATTGGTCCGGGCCGTGTTGACGGATGCGTGAGAAGAAAACACCGCCTTAACTCCGAGTCTTGAATCGGGCGCGAAGGAGGTTTTTGACCAAAAAGTGTAAAAATGCGTCTAAGCGAGATAAACACACCCTTTATTGGATGGAGCGAATCTTTTTGAGCTTCTTTAGAATAAGTGGCTGTGCTAGGCGCTTAAGTCATTTTTCTCCGTAATGGCGATAAAGGAGTGTTTTTAAAATGGTAGTGTGTTGTTAGGTGCTTTCAAGAAGGTTCCGACTCATAGCAATCGTATGTACAACAGAGCGAAACACTGCCCGTCCGGTCCTCGGTCCTGAGCCATTCTCATGATCGTTGTTATGCTTGAGCCCATTGTTGCAGCCACTGTGTCAATCTATCTTGTTAAGGATCTTCCTCTTTTTCCGTCACCCTCTACTTTACCAAGCATGATGTCCTTCTCCAGGGACTGGTCCCGCCTGGTAACACGTCCAAAGTATGTGAGACGCAGTCTCACCATCCTTTCTTCTAATGAGTATTCTGGCGGTACTTCTTCCAAGCAAAATGAGGTTTTAAAAAGTAGAATTTCCTTGTGCGTTCGACCCAGCAGTAGCTACATTATCCTCGTATTTTTGCACGTTTCACAGTGTGGATCTTTTTGCAGCTTTTTTGCTGTTGTGACTAGTTTTTCGTTTTCATGATGGTGATCGCTTTCAAAAAAGTATGGGAGGCATTGGTTTGCTCTTCAGAGTTAGCTTAGCCACATCTGACCGCTCAGACCAGGCCAGACGTCGCTAACGTCTGTGGGCATACAGCCCATGGCCATGAATCAAGATGGTTTCTGGTGGGATGAACCCGGATCTTTGGCAACCATTTCTTGACAAATGGGTCCATATGGCCCCAAAGCATTCATAAATGTAATAAATGACTTGAAAACTTCAAGAAACTCTATAGAACCAACTGGCTTTTCTCAGAAATACTCTTGAACCACAGCCTCCGTTTTAAAACAAGACAGAAAGCAGAGCCAAACAAATGGCCTGGGATCAAGAACTACCAGGCATTAAGAAGACCCGGCATTAAGAATAACCAGAGATGAAAATATCTCCAAGAAGAGTAGTGTTCTAGGAAGCACTGATATTCTGTTTATGGTGATGGAAATTTTAGCAACCGATATTGGTGATGGCTGCACAATATGATCCATGTAATTCATGTCACTACATTGTACACATGAAAACTGTCAAATTGGCAAATGTTGTAATATATATACTCGTGTGCTGTTGAGTTGATCCTGACCCGTAGCGACCCTACAGGACAGAGCAGAACTGCCCCATAGGGTTTTCTAGGGTGTAATCTTTACAGGAGCAGGTCACTAGGTCTTTGTCTCTCAGAGCCACTGGGTGGATTCAAACTGCCTACCTTTCGGTTAACAGCTGATCACTTTACCATTGCACCACCAGGGCTCTTTACATATATTTACAACAATTAGAAGAGAAGGAGCACTGGTGGTGCAATGATTAAGCGCTCGGCTGCCAAACGAAACATAGGCCATTTGAATCCACCCAGTGGCTCCTCGGGAGAAAAACCTGTCAATCGGCTCTCATCAAGATTACAGCCTTGGAAACTCTATGGGAGAGTTCTACTTGGTCACATGGGGTCTCCATGAGTCAAAAACCAACTTGACAGCACAAAGCAACAACATCCAAGGTAGAAAGATTAAAATGGAAAAGAAGAATGGCATCCCATTTCTCCCACAGTCTCGTCCTCTACCTCCTAAAAATCCCATTGCTGTCCAATTGATTCCGACTCATAGCGACCCTACAGGACAGAGAAGAACTGCCCCGTAGGGTTTCCAAGGAATGGATGGTGGATTCGAACTGTTGACCTTTTGGTTAGCAGCCAAGCTCTTAACCACTGCACCACCAGGGCTGCTAGGACATTGCAACAGTGTCAGTAGCTACACTCTCTAATACTTATGAAGCCCCGCTGCACCTAGATGTGTTACAGCTTCCCTTTTTCTGCTTAGCACAGCATATCCTGGTGCCTTGGCAGGGGCGGATTATCCAGTAGACATGGTAAACACAGTGCTTACCTTGCTTACCAGATCATCTGTAGTGAACAATTTCTTTGATGTCGTGAAGCCCATGTGAAATTGTTCACTACAGATTAGTAAGTAAACACAAGTAAGCCAGTGCTTACTTGTGTTTACTGGGTTGTCCGTCCCTGTAAGGAACTGTAAACTTGAAAAGAGGCTTTGATTC